TTAGGGTTTAGGGTTAAGGTTTTACGGTTTAGGGTTCGGGGTTTAGGGTTTATAAAGGGTTCATATGAGCTATAGTCTAAACTCCTTGAATGAAGGGGTTTATATAGGTGATTAGATAGGCGAGTATTATAGGGCCTACTGAGGGGATGTTGGGAATTTTGGGGATGTATGGGGACATATGGTGCCCCAATAAAAGCATATAGGGATTATACAGGACTCCACTTCTGAGTTTCTGTAGTCTCCTAAGGAATGTGTTATGTCATTTTTGCTAAGGTATAATCCTGCGGCATTGTTGTAGGTCCTAGGGGGATTACAGATGTAGGGTTTAGGGGTTGTTGGGTTTAGCGTGAAGGGTTCAGGGTGTTGTGTAGGGTTTTGGGTTTGGTGATTCTCTGAACCGTACGTCCGCACCTGGGCAGCAGTCAAGTCGCCTAATCAGGACGCCCCAGCGTTGTACGGACAGCACGAACGCCCTGCACCCCAAATCTGAGTCGATGCAGACTTGTTCTAGATGGCACGCGCCTATCTGTTCCAAAGGGTGTTGCAGACACGTTCGATCCAGGGCTAACGTGGACACGGAAATCCGGAAATTCAAGGCCCGTATCAATTGCATTTGGCCCGGGGCTGACTCTCTCAAGTTTCAAGCGAGGCCTATGGCGTTGTTCAACAGGCACCAAACATTTTTGCGACTAAGCTGCCTCAGCCCCAACATCTTGACTTGAAGATGAAGCAGGACGCGCTATATCCCTGGTCGGCGCATGGGCGGAAAGCGCCAGGACGTGGGCTTGACAGTCCTTTACGCAGCATCGATAACAGACACTTCCAGAGTTCACATCCTAGTTCCTGCTGCTCATACAGAGACGCTTCGGTGGGTGACATTGGGTTCAAGCTCCCAGGTAGGACTGAGTCAACGGCTAGTATGAATGCTCCCCATGCCGGCAATTGCTTAGCTAGGCAGATTGCATATTCATCTAGTTGTGATTTTGCGGGGGCTCTTTCAAGATTCTAGGTTGATGCGGAATTCAGAAACCTGATTAGTCAGCAGGAATTAGTGCCCTTGGGTTGGGAATCTTCCTTTTACAACCTCCCCCAAGGACCTTTATTCACGTCCATGAGCCCAAAACCCAAAACCCTACACTCTAAAGCCAGAACCTGGGGCCCTACTTCGAAGTTCAGGGTAAGAGCAACCCCAAAAAATACGGGATCTCCCAAAATGTTGAGTACCTTTACGGGGGTCCGCACGATAAGGATTGTTTTTTGGGGGGGTCTATATTGGGGCCTCCGTATTTGAGTAGACTACCAAGTTTAACTGATTTAGACCCATTGACCGTCATACCAGGAGGTTTTGGGGGGCCTATATTCGGATGAGAAGTACAGTTAGAATTGATACGTCAGTCGAAATTGCCCTGAATTTCCAAGTAGTAGACGGAGGACACGCAACGGCCATACGTTCCCGAGGCGAACAATCGCCGTAAGAAGCACGGCTCCGACCAGCAGTTTCTTTCACCCTGGTGTTCAGTGTGTAGGGTCCCTAAACCCTGAACCCTTTAGGGCTGAGTAGGGAACAGAGGAATCGGTCGTAAAGACGACTTGTCTTGCCTAGGCTTGCGGATGGATCGCTACATCTCTAGCTGCTCTGGACAACTTGCCCCGACTCCTAATCACCTCCCCCTAGTAAAAAAACACCCCCACCCACCTAACATTACATATTTGCGATATATTTCAATATACCACAATCGGAGTATTTGATGTGTAATACGGCAATATTAGGGCGAATTACATCTTGTCAGTGCTGTCCCTTCAGTGGCGGGGTGCGGGGTGCTGACAGCTTCAGGCTCCCACTCTCAACCCTTTCACTGCACGTCCCAAGTTCAACATGTTAATTAGCTTCCCTAAACAGGGGGATCTCCCTTTTAGACCCCAAAGAATTCTATAATCCTTCTTTTGGGGTATGAGTTAGGGATATTGTTGTCCTTCTCTGCAGTGCCTCCTTCGTGGGTTCGCGGAGTCATTACGGCTTCTGGGATTTTCCACGGTGATGCAGTATTCTCCTAGTGCGGAGCACAGGATGCCCCCGTCACACGCTTACGGCCAAGCACGGGTTCAAAAGGGGACCCCAAAACAAGGTACCCCCCCCATTTTGGGAACATCAAGCCTTCTTACCCTAAACCCTAAACCCTAAACCCTAAACCCTATTCCGAAAGGATTCTAGCCCAAATGCCTTTATAAAGGATCGCTTGGCTCTTGATCCTATCGGGCTTGGCTGGATACCAGGCTGGATGCGTGTCATGAGTTATGACAAAATCCATGTGCGGAGCAAGAGGGAAAGATGGCCATTGGGGCTATTTGATTCACAAATTGAGGCAAGTGTATCTGAGAGGTTCTTCCATTCAAGATCTGGTTGGTCAGCTTTTGCAGGATGCTGACAAAGCTTCGACATGTAGCAGCGGCCAAATTGTGGAAGGAAGGCCCTTTGCTACCCCAGTTTGCAAACTTTTGAGCATCTAGCTGCGGCTTGCGCCCCTAAGGCCGTTTCAATTCTCGTTTGTTGCCACATCTAGGCCTTAGCTGGGGTCCTGTCCAGCTTGCAGCAGCAGCAATAAGAATAAGCCAGCATAGATTGTTTTCCATTATCCCTATATAACCCCTATAACTATATAGTTTCCATTTTCTTTTGGTGTGGTCGCTGGCTGTATTCTGCAAACCGTCAGGCTGGAAATGGCTTGCTGGAAGAGCGCTATGAGAGCAACTCAGCACCCCAGTTTGCATATTCATCGCCGGTCATCCAACAAGGACTGTAGGGGACTCGAGAAGCGCCGCGGGGGCAGTTCCTATCTTTGGTTACCCGCGGGAAAGGCGGAATGGACAAGAAAAGGGAAACAACTACGGTACTGGAAGTTATGTAGGGGCTACAAAATTGATATTCCATTCCTCCATTCCCGCTAACCAGAGGTACGGCCTAGGATATACATACATACATACATACATACACACATATATATATATATATGAAGGTGTTGAAATGCGGGGTGATCGTGTTTTGAACATAGTGTGGACAGTTTCAAGAACCATGTCGCAAAAGATCCAGTCTGCTTTGAAGGGTTCTTAGTGGCTGAGTCTTCATAACAGTATATTATGAAGCACACGGTGAACCTCCTAAAGTAAATCGGTATGACCTGATCGGACGCACTGATGCTTAAACTGCAATGGGGCGGTAAATATAGGCACGAGCAAAGCGAATCATGTAGAGACTAATCTACTGTAGGTCTTCTTAGTTTTCATTTTTGCCGTTGAGTAGAACCCCAAGGAATTATTGAACATAGCACTCTTTTATAGGTCTAGGGGGAAGGTTCTAAACAAAACGGGCCAACAGCTTCCTGCAGGATGTGTGTTGATGGCGCGGCCTGGCGACACGTTCGTTGACCACCAGCACTACTTCCACAAGTCTGCGATCCTCGTCGAAGAAATGATGCTGACATTGAAGATGACAATCAAGATGATAAGGGGGAGAAGCACAATAATTCTATCCAAAAATGGAAGAGTCATAGCCATTCCATGACTTACTAACTAAGGGATCCTAACCCCCAGTTCTAATTACAGGTATGAGTAAGCACAGCGGAAGCTTGAAGAATTTCCAAGATTGTTGCAATAGCATCCCTTCATTCATAACTCCTATATCACATACCCCCAAATCCTTTTCAGATTACATTGGCCTCCACGTTACAATCCATACAAATCCTTAAAGCCCAGAGCCCATGACACGTTCTATAATCTTTTCAATTTGCTTCTCCCTTCTTCCAGATATGTAAGTCCCTAAGCCCCAAAACCTATCCCCTGAATCTTAAACCCTCAATCCTAACCCTTAACTTCTAACGCCTAAGCCTTAAACCCTATCCCTATGATGAAGCGAAAGGATTCTCATCCTCAAGCATGACGACGAATTTGATCGCGGCATCATCATAAACCGCCCTTCAGGCTCTGACGGGGCTCAGGGTTTAGTGAGAATGGAGAAGAAAATGGAAACTACTAACTGCTACGTAAAGTATTTGGGGTTTTGGGCTTAGGGGTTTAGGGTGTTATCACGGGTTTAGGGGTCTAGCTGTGGTTAGGGTTTAATTAGAGGTTCAGGGTTTAGGGTAGTGATTTTGTGATGTTTCGGGTGTAGGGGTTTAGGGTTTAGGGGTTTAAGGTTCGCATGGCGACATGTCCCCTTCGGGGGCTATACATGATATAGGGAGATACAAGGATACCCAGGGATTGGAGCTTGAAGTTTGAATAGTAAAGTGGAGAACAAACTTGAAAACACAAAAGCAAACAGGCAGGAGGATTAGGTAAGGGCTTTAGAGACACAACATGTTGGTTGCTAACAGAACCAAACCGTTTGCTTCCTTGCAGGGATTACCGGAGTTCGGGTTTGGTAGGGGGTGCCAGCCCGGGTAAGGAGACAGTCGCGGAAGCACAGAAGGAACTCCTGTCTTCGAAAGGTCGGCGTAGAAGCAAAGAGGTTCAGGGTCTATGGTTCAGGGTTTCGGGGTTTAGGGTTGACCACCCTTTGAAACGGCGGCACCGCGTCAGCCCCTATGTTTGCTTAGGGAGTATGAGGGCAGTACTCTAGAAGCCTGAAGAGTTACGGATATTTCAATGTCTCTCCCTTACATCATAGGATTGATATGGGCCCGCCTGAAGGGAGCCCCCCAGCAGGCACCAGTAGCCCCTGATAGAGTCTGCATGGGCCTCAGTAGTTCTAGGCTCTTTATCAGAAAGGATTATCAGCCTGTAGCATTGTAAGCATTAGACCCTATACAGGTCAAAGAGGCCCTCACATGTAATCCCTCTAAGCTCCTACGTTGCCAGTGTTCTTGTCATGTTCCATGTGGCGTTTACACTTGATTGTTCTCTGTTCGAACTAATTAGTTTGGCCCTAACCCTAAGCCTTGTAATCCCCTATTGAACCCCTCTTCCAATTTCTCGGGACGATAAACCACACCCTCAGCCTTACAACCCTAAACACCCCAGTCCCAGCCACAGGCTTCAACACCCGACAGCTTGGTGTTCCGGGCCCTGCCTGGAACATATGGTGCTTTGGATTAGGGTTTAGGGTTTACGGTTTGGGATTTGAGGTTTGGATTTTAGATTGTTGGGCTGAGGGTGTGAGTTTAGGGGGCGAAAAGGGGTTAGGGTTTGCATTGGATAAAGGGTCAGCTTCGGACATTTAGGAATTATGGCCCCAAGTACGAGCCTTCAACCTGCTCAGGCGAATCCTAGTGGAGCTTTGGAAGTATGGGGCTGCGGACTAAACTTATGTAGCTTTGGGGGGACCCACTAGAAGTATACACAGGAGGTATAGGTGTATAGGAGGAACCTAGCTAGGTAGATTGTTACGCCTTCTAGAAGGCGGACCCGATAGGTTCCAGGACATTGAGGATTTGAGGCGTGACACGACCGACGTTCAACTGGTGCGCGTGTGTGCGGTTTAGAGTTAAGCCCGAGTTAAACCAAAATAGGCATTACTTGTCATGGTTACCGTTGAAAATCAAGACCAAAACACCACTCTGATCCCAACAAACTCCTTCAAGTCTACCAAGGGGAATCCGGAATCCTCAGCTCCTTCGCTCCTTCAGGGGATGTAACTTACGAGTCGGGTTCATGAATAAGCGGCAAAATCACTATCTAGTTCGGAACATCACCAGCATATTTGTCCATTTAGTTGTGCATTGAGTCTTCCGTATGATCATCCAGTACTAGGGAAGGGACCGCGAGTATTCAGAGTGTCCGAGTGTATTGGGATCTTAGGGGATTGTTCGAAATAGCCGCAAGCCCTAAATCCTATAGTCCCCCAGAAGTGGCTAGAATATGGAGTATATGGGGATCTTAGTATAATATACCCAAAGCCATATTCTGGCTACTTAAGGGGGCTCTATAAACTCAAATCCCAAATCCTGAAACCTAAGCCCTAAATCCTAAACCCTGAGCTCTTCACCCCTAAACCCTAAACCCTAAACCCTAAGCCCTTGGAGCTGCATCGGGCCCAGGTTCGGGGGAGATTGCGAGGGGCTACGAGCACCTCATTACACTGGAGTGAGTGCCCTGTCTTTGGGTTATTTGGAGCTTAGGGTTTAGGGTTTAGGGTTTAGGGTTGGAGTGAGTGCCCTGTCTTTGGGTTATTTGGAGTTTGCTGTTGAGGGGTTCCGTGCGTTTAGGGGTTTGGAAATCTGGGTCTAGGATTTAGGTTTTGAGATTTTGGGTTCGAGGATTAGAGTTTCCAGTCTGGGGTCGAAGATACAGCTTACAGTTTCTGGTTCCAGGATAGGTCTGAAGTTCACGATGGGGTTTGGGTAAGCTGAGTTATGCTCAAAGGGAAGCTTAGCCGCACCTAGGCGGGACTTGAGTTCTAGAGTGGCTCCGCCTGGGAGCGAAGGAGGTGGTCTTCAAGTATTGGGGTTTGTCTGACAGTATCTAGGAACAGCTTGGCAACCGCCTCCCTTTCTACACAACACAGGATTTGGAGTTGGACCGCTTTCCCCCAACAATGACTTGAGAAAGTTGTGTGTGCTGGCGACGGGCGGTGAGGAACCTTCTGCCTACACGTGTCGGAAGAGTTCGCGGACATGTCCAAGGATTGTGGTTTAGGATTTAGGGCTTTGCATTCCAAACCTGTGGTCCCGCGAGCACCATCCCACGCAGGGCGTCCGTGAAATACGGTGGAGTCAAAAGAAAAATCACCGGGCCGATCTACTGATTATCTTCCCTTGTTTGGCCACTAATAGAGGCTGCTGATCCTCATTGTTCGGGAGATGTTTCTTGAGGATCGAGAGCTGTCCTTCCCAATGCCCTCCCCCGAAAACCTAACCCGCTATAAGCCAGATGCATGGTTTTGTGTGGTGATTTGGAACATACGTGAGTGTCTCAAAAAGGGAAAGCGAGATCCTATGACGGATAAGGCTATCTGATGTTTTGCAGGCCTCGTCAACTGAAGAACGATCATAACGATGGGCCCAACATCTCGCAGTGGTTTTGGGGGAGGAGTCCTTAAAACCCCTCGGCCGGAAGGAGGTGGAGAGGGGCGTGTACTTGATCCGCTTCGATGCAGCTCAGGATCTCGTTAGCCACACGGGCTCATCTTAGAATTTGTTTTCTCGGTGTGACCTCTACTACGGTTCAGTACGTAGTACTTTAAACATTTGGGGGTTCTTCTATTTCATATTCAGCGAGAAGAACTTTGAAATTTTGTTGGGGGATTACAGAGCCACTAAGTGTTTTGAGCTGTGGGGTATACAGCATCTACACTTCATGGGATGTCCAGATGGGAAGTGAGAATGATCCTTCATCTCCCTTAGCGTTCTGTACGGGACCTAGGTATTTCTGGGGCCTGTCAAACTACTACCCAGATATGGTTGCTATGGGATAGGTAGAGTGATGTAGAGTGTCACACAGATTGTTTGTGGATGCAGGCCAAGATGACAACCTGTTTGTCTAGGGGTGTATGACAGCATGGCGGCTCTTCCGCGAACGCCCTTCTTGCGCAAGCCACACACCCTAAACCGATCGGCAAAGTAGCCTTGTATGCAAAATGGTGATCAGGAAGGAGTGCGAAAAATCTGTCCCTGGCACAACATGAATCGAATCGGACACGGGCCAGACCCAAACAACCCATCGCGAGGTTTGGGGTTTAGGGCTTAGGGCACGTTTTGGTTTCAGCATTGGATGAAGCAATTTGACAGGTCAGGGGCGCGCGACACCAGATGATTTCATGCTGTTCTTCGGCTACTGCTGCTGGGCTGCTGTTAAGAAGCCTCGATTGAGTCATATACCATAATCGGAAACCATATCATTTAGATCATTTGTAAGTATGGTAGCTTAGCTGAAGTTCTTCCAGCCCCTACGGAACGTTGAAACCCTAAATATGTCTTTTGCGTTTAATACTATTTTTTACATCTGACTCTCCCTTACCATTCTGACTTAACGCTTTGAATTTCCTTTAAACAGCAACCCTGAACCCTAAACCCTAAACCAACCCAGGCGGGTGGGGGCGCAACCAGCTCCAGCGAGAGCTCGATGCCGGAGTGTGGAAGATGGCCCCCTGGAAATGTTAGCTGATGAGACATTTAGGGTTTAGGGTTTAGGGTGGGAGTTTCTCAAAAAGGGGGTACCCTAGGGACCCCAGGGGATATATAGGGATAATATGGGGATTATGGGGGTCCTTATTATGGATTGTATAGGGATAATATTGAGAAATACCCACATTTAGGGTTTAGGGTTCGGGGTTCGGGGGTATACGCTTTCCGAGGTATACTACAATGTAGATGTTGATGATCGGCGTGGTGTGAGGTGTGTGTTATGGGAGGTGGCTGTTAATGAGAAGTTGACGTTGTAGGGCTTGGAGCTCCCCACCCCGCACACATCGCATCATGAATATTCTCAATATGCTAGGTGGAGCCCCCCACTCAGTAATAGTGACTATGAAGGATGATCCGATTATATATCCCATCATGTCATTATTACAGGGTGGGGGGTGGGGTCCACCTAGCCAATACGCTGTGATATACTGCGTATGGTTGGAATACTTGTCATTTGGGGAGCGGGAGTTATTTTTTGGTCCTCCTACCGTGCAGAAGTCTTTTTTCAGGAGCAAAGGCCAGCCCAGAAGCAAAGGCCAGCCCAGAAATTTCAGGCTAAGTAGTGTAGTCAAGTATGCGCTAGATTGAAGTAATGTTGGACCCTCTTTAATCTTAGGACCCCCCATAACGAATAGGGGCCCCCGAAAAGTAGAAATTTAACGTCCTCAAAAAGGCTTCCACGGTACTTGGTCCCGGTAGGCCTTGGGGATCACTTTGAAAGGGACGGTCTGGATTCGGTCCTGTACTTTAGGGCCCTGAAACCAAAACACATTAAACAGGGTCTTCCCAACAATGGCCAGATCCTGAATAAGCAGCGGTGAAAACAGATTAAAGAGGGTGCCTCTACAAAAGAGAGTGCAACATTAGTGCGCTATGAAAAAAGCATTGCATGCATACAAGTCAGACCGCGTATAAGCATGACATAAAAACACGTATACATACTTGCATACCTTGATCCACTCATGCATACATACGTTCACATATAAGAATATAGGTAGGTCCCAAGATTCTGCCCCTTTTGCTCATAGATTATATTACGGCCCCTAATATTCAAGGGTACCAAAATGGGACCCAATTTTGGGAACTACCCATATAGTTGTAGAAGACAAGCTGCGGCTAAGGCCAGCATCGATAGCCGCATCGTTGTGAAAGAGCTTCGCGAAGAGTCAAAGGACCTGAGAGCAATGCCCGAGATTCCAGGCCCTATCTTGGGAAAGTTTTGCTGGGTTGTTTTTGTTTCATTTTCCATCATTGATCTCAGAATGGGCCATATATATATATACATATATATATATACATATTAACATGGCTAACAGCTAGACGTTCGGTACGCCAAGCAAGTTTGACCAGTATCCAATGGCTTTGCCAGAGAGCCATTGGATGGGTCTTAGGTTGAGACCTACTATGGCAGATGGTACGCGGTTTAGGGTTTAGGGTTTAGGTTGAAACTTCAGCACCATCCCAACGGACAAATCGTAAGAAAGCCTCGGCCACCAAACGCACAGAAACGACTGAGGATCGGTCTAGATGACGGTATTGGATTGTGGCGACACTTGCAGCTTGGCATTGATATGGTAATTCCCCTAAACAGGGGGCCCCCCATATAGAACCCAACGTATAGACTTTTCCTGGGAGGCGTTGGTAAGTATGGCCTATCTTGCCGCTGCGAAGATCATCTGCATGGTAATCTTATTAGCAAAGGTACTAACTAACATCTAAGTAAGTGCAGTGAACTCCGTACAAGGTGAACCCCAAACCTTCAATCCTAAACCCGAAGCCCTAAGCCCTGGAGCCTAACATCCTTAAACCCTCAACCCTATTTACACGTGAGTTCAGCAAACCCGCAGCTGCCGCGGCTTAACTCTAACCTTTTGCCTACTGGAGGAACGGAGGCCAAAGTAGGCCCAACATAGTTAATACAGTTCCCCATCACCTAGTAGCTAGCAGTTTCCGTTTCGTTTCCTTTCCTTCATACCATACACGCAGCCAGCAAGTTAACCCTACGTAAACCCGAACTGTAAAACCCTGAGTTTCCACCTAAGTGCCCATGTGTTTGTTCCGCTTGATTTTTGGTTCTAAGCTGCTAAACTCTGAACCCTTAAGCCCAGGGGTTCAGCGTTTGGGGTTTCGGGTTCGGGGCCCCTAAACCCTGAACCCAACTTGTCCTGTTCAGACCTTGATATAACACGCCCGTAGGGGAGGAGTGAATGCCTGGGTCAAGGAAACCCAGTTATACCTGTACTTAAAACCCAGCTATAAGCTCCGAGGCCCTCGTAGATTCCCCTTATCTGCGTTGTTGCTACGGAATATAATTCAAGTTACCACAGGGACGATGTATTGTAAGAGCAGGGCTTCCCTGGTAACTTAGTTTTTGCTCAAGGACAGCAAAGCAGCCCAGAGAAGTGCCCAGGTATTCTCGCGTTGATGCAGGAATGCCACAGAAGGATCCTCGCGAGATGACGATGATGGGCAGCCTAGTCTAGCTTGATATATTATATAGGGGTTATATCGGGTCATAGTGGGATAATGGAAACTAAAGTGGAAACTACAATTAAACTGCCGGTCTTGGGGCTGGTGAGGTTGTAAAGTGGTTATAGTCCCCCCTACGTAGATACGATATGGCTTGCGGTATGTAATAGTAAGATTTTCATGTACCCCATATTCTATCTACTTAAGGGGGACTATATGTCATGATGACGGGTATACGAGAGAATATGGCAGAGGAGTCCAACAATTGTGTTTTGGTGGATTTCTGTGGTTGAGCCGGGTTTTGGATGCAGCGTTGCGGCCTCATAGTCTATCGTGCTTGAGCTCGTTGAATACCATGTTCTGTTGCTGTTATTCGTGATTTTTACTACCACTACTGTTTTTGTAGTAGTGCTGTTTCTATCATTGGTTTTGTTGTTGCAGTCGTTACTTTTATTGCTGGTATATGCAGCTGGTACGCAGAACATGCTATTTGAAGATAGTAGCTCAGCTGGGTCATCAAGTATGTTAGGCAAAACCTTGGTAGAGCACAACAGTGCCACTGTGGTATTCTGTTTCTAGCATCACTCGTCCTACTACTTCTCATGGTTGTTGCCACTACATCCTCCCCTCCTCCTCCTCCTACTGCTACTACTAGTTCTTCTACTTCTATTTCTACTTTCACAACGACGACGACTACTACGCACTAGTTCTTCTCCCACTGCTCTACGACAACCACCGCCACCGCCGCCGCTACCGCCGCCGCTACCGCCGCCGCCGCTGCCGCCACGCCACCGCCACAGCCGCCACCACCACCATGACCAACGTATCATGCTTCTAGGTCCTAGGTCCTACCGTTATGCCTGCTACTTGCATGACTGACAAAAAGTCAGAATAACTCAGGTATTGACGCAGTGGAGGGCGATGCGTTTGCTGACGCCATGCTTCGCCAATGGCTGATTCAAAATTTGACCCCGCCGTGAAAGCTGAAGACAGCGGCGTCGCGGTAGTACTGGGACAGCTGTAGAGAGGTCAGACGGTTTGCCATATCTTAGCCGCTCCTAGTTGCTGCAGCCCGCTGCTCTGTTCGCGTGAGTTCGTCGTTTCGTTCGTTGTCCTGCATCTTCCACAGCTGCCACATGGGCGTTTCCAAAACAATTGTCCTTAAATGAGTAGGCCCATAGCTTGGGCAGTTTGGGGCACATGGTCTCGCGGTGCGGGAACCTCAAGACTGGAAACGACCCATCGGAGGCTGCTTCGTCCATATCACGCTTTGCAGCACAAGACTGTTTTTAGTTGCAGTGAACGCTTCTTTGCATGTTGTGTACATTACCGATCTTCGTGCTAGATCGTAGGATTGGTTGCGCTCCCCGGAAGCCTGGTTACCCAAATGAGCCACGCAGCCGCATGGAACACGGTCTATGTTTGGACCGGGAGCACTTGGCAATGCTAATCCTGTGCAAAGGTAGCCAGGATTTTGGGGCTTCATCTCGGGAAACACGCTGCCTGAGAAAGGTTGCGACTACCCTCGTGTAGGAGGTAGTCTGCAGAAGCCTTGAAATGCCACAGGTCGAGGTATGTCTAGGTTCCCAAGCAGGGGCAAAGGGCAGGTTCCCAAAAACTGACAGTATTACAGAAGAGCACAAGCTTCGCAATGCATTTCCTCAACTTTCTGGGACGCTGCCCAACGTCCAAGTCATAGCTTATAGGCTGCTGGGGAATCTAGCCTCAGAGTTGCAGCGGGAAGGACAAAAATGGCAGTTGCTGCTTGAATGCTGCTCCCACACAATAGCAGGTGGATAATATCTTCTCAGCCTTGCTCACGGTGGTTCAGCAGCGTCAACATAAGAGGCTAAGGACATCCCCGTCGCAAACATATGGGTCGTTATAAAAATCATGGGCCCATTTGGGCAATAGATTATATTACGGCACCTAATGTCTAGGGGCACCAAGACAGGACACTAATTTTGGGAACTACCCATATACAGTCCCAAGCCGCCAATCCGGTAACTTGGTTCCTACACCCACCCAGCACCTAAGCTTCTACAATAGCAGTACAAACAGTGTTTTATATGAGCACGCTCAAGATTCTCCCTATTTTCATGGGTTTCCTGATAGTACCACCCCTCTTTACCACCCCCCTGGTTCCCCCTCAACTAATCTTAATTAGAAAGAGAATTATCCCTTAACAAAACTTAATTCAGGGGGGAACCAGGGGGTAAACCTTCAACTCCTCGACCAAGCTGAGCAGTTTCAAGCGAACTCACCCCACCTCGTCCTAAAGGGTGGTGTATATAGGGAATAGTACGAAAATGGCCTTAAGTTGGGATTTCAAATTATTCTAAATTACCCTGCCAAGGCGAACTTCCAGTCTGGGACCAGCGGGCTCCAGGGTCGGGAGCATGGCACTGCGGGCCACCGCCAGCTAGGTTGTACCTAATATTCTTACCACGCGGTTTTGGGTTTAGGGTTCAGGGTTTAGGGTTTAGGGGTCAGGGTTTAGGGTTCTGGGTTTAGGGTTTAGGGGAATTATTGAGATAAGGACTAAATTCAGGTTGGGGGGGACCTATAGGGGACTATATAGGATCTTGGGGGCGGGGACCTATTAAGGGATATGATATGCTACAAATTTAGTCCAGGGCTCAAATAGATAATGGAAAAGAAAGCGAAACTACTATTTAGGGTTTAGGGTTTACCTGTGGTTAGTTGGGAATGAAGGAACGCAAAAAGAAAATGGAAACTCTAGAATGAGTTATATAGGGACTACTACAAGGATCCGTTATTTCATTCATAGCTAAACAAAGGTAGGTATTTGGGCTTGGGGTTTTACAGGGATTATATGTGGGTATATAAGGTTGCGTAGGCTATGTGGGGTTTCTTAGGGTTTAGAGAGATTACCCCAACACTTGGACAATCGACTGGACGAGAAAATTGGAACATGAAATGGGGACTTGCATGATATTACTGGTTCACAGAGGTTAGGGTTTCTTCAAATGGGGGGGGGTCAAAGGACACCTGAAGATAAACATATATATGTATATTTGGTGTGTCTAGCTATGAAGGAACTGCATTTTCGACACTGCTCCCATGTAGGAACCTGGATGATGGATTGGTAACAGAATTCGGGTTCAGGGTTCGGATGGTTTAGAGTTTACCCTAAAGCCTAAAATCTCCGGGACAGTAGGTGTAGCATCATGCCCACTCCTAAAACACCGATTGGGGCCTGGTCCTAAGTTATGACCTCAGACACACAAATCTTAAAATAGTACCCAAAACAAGAAGGACCCATGCTGACACCCTGCCAGGGGATTTACAGAATGCGTTCCGAATTGGATATAATACATACGACAAAACCTCAGCGTACCGCACAGCATTTTCGCAGTCATAAAGGATTATAAGGCTTCACATGGCTACATGTTGAGTGTTTCCCTTTCTACCATACGTAGGGGCCTGATTGGCGTACTAGTCAGAATCTCAGGCAGTGAGGGGACTCTTTGGGCTAAGGAGCAGCTTGTTTTGACCTGCTTGGGGTTCATGGGTTTCTATGATCAGGGTTATACATATGTCACGTAAACTTATCGCTCTGTTGAAGGTAGTTTTACTTGCCCTTCTACACTCCAAGTTGAATTACAACCAATCCACTTCCACCATCTTCCACCTTGCTTCACATCTCTCCACCCCATAACATTAAATATGACCCCCCCCCCCACAACATATGCGGTCTCTTATGGTGCATATTCTACCGCATTGATTGTATGAAGGCGACATATGCTAATATTTTCCAACGGGCTCTATAGGCCAATCAAGATAATATTACTGTACTTAGCTTTGCTGCCTGCGAGGATTCTACTAGGATAATGACAGCTAGCCTCAACGAACCCTAAACCCCTAAACTCTAAACCCTAAACTCTAAACCCTAAACCCTAAACTCTAAACCCTGAATGTTTGAAGGGCTCCCCACTCCAGATGTTCTTTGGGTGGCGCCTTTTGGCATTCGCAACTTGAGGGCCTACTTAGACGGTCAGGGGGCTTTACTACTTAGGTCAATAAGAGGGATAGCTGGGTGTGGGGTGCTATACAGCTTCTCAGGGATCCCAATACCCCTTAATTAAGGAATAGAGCTTGATTCATATTAGGGAACTTAATACCATTTAGGGTATATTTCTTAATTAACGGGTATTAAGTATTGGGGTTCTCCGGGTTATAGGGCTTATGAGTATACTTACGAAGTCTCCTGACCTTCCAAGTATATACTCTACACCCTAAGCCCTGGATGGCCTACAGGCATTCATTCCTCTTTGCATACGCACTGCGTATATATACTTTTTTTTTGATGGTTCTCTTGCGGGTTGGCTGGGAATGCCAGTGCAGCAACTTCCTGAGATTCGTAACCCCCTCCTTTTCATGCCCCCCAACGATGCCAACTATTCCAATTACAGCATGTTATAGTTTCATGGCAATACTCGTTATTAGGCAGGTGGGCGGTGGGCTCATTTTTGGGGGAAGAGATTACGAAGTGGAAGTATGCGAAAGTAGATGCCTCTGTCCATCCTGCAGATCCCCAGCAGTCTCCGGTAGTTATCAGAGGGGCTCCAGGTCCCCCAACTACGATTACATATTATCACCTCACGTCTAGCTGTCCGACTTACATCCCAGGTCAAAATACCCATGAACCTCCAAGAACTGTTTGGACGATGCCGCCTCGTAGGCTTGAAGGTTTCAAACGCACAGCAGGCACAACAGTTCAGCTTTTGCAGATCCCTTGGTTGAATCGTGTCTGATTGAAAGCTAGAACTCCTGAACAGAATTAGTATAATGCACCATATTTCCGCCCGGTCTTCCGGGAAGTGCCCCTGAGCCTGAGCCCTTAGCCCCACACCTGCCACGCGACCTGGAAGAGTGGTGACACAAACAGGGGACGCGCGGCCATGCGCCACCGCTGCACCCGCCATGGCAAAGATCCTCTTGTGGCCTGAGGGATGCCACTCTTCTGCAGCAAGACCCTAGTTGAGTCTTTTTTTAGTTGATGAAGTCGCAAATACAGAAGCTGTGACTACGTTTCACTTGGTTCTGGTTCGGGCTATCTTGGCCGTGAGTGAGTATGCCTTGATATCTGCGGGTCATACTCACCCACCGCCCCCCCAAAAAATGGACGTCAAGGCCCTGTGCTATCAAGCTACGTCTTCATGAAGCACGGGGCCTGAATTGCGACCGGGATGAGGTGCCACATCAAATTTGGGTAGCTGGGAGTGAGACCGCGTCTTGGCGAGATGTCTTGAAGATTTCATGAACATTGTTCTGCACAGGAATCTTTCTCAATCTGGTGGTTTTGCCAGATCCCTTAGTTAGCCTGTCTATGTGGCTTGGTTAGTTGCTGCCAAGTTTGCTTTTGCCCTTTCCGGCAGGATGGAAAGTTTGTGGAGGTCTCCTTCCACGACCATGTGCGCATGTCACAGAGGAGCAGCGGCTCGCCCAGCAATCCTGCCTCTCGGCTGCCTAGCCTGTCCCTTGTCCCTTCAGGAAGGAAGACCCGCAGCGTGCCGCAATTAACGTGGAGGAAGGTTCTGCTTTCTTGAATAATTGTCCAGCTTTTGGTTCTGGGAGGGCTGAAGCTTATTTGGTTTTCCCCATGTGAAACATCATACTTCTGGTGCCCCTGTAACGTTGGACATTTGTCAAATTTGTTAATCAAGAGGCCCTCCCGAAAAACCCTGAACCTTCAATGTTCTTCAGTCGCCGCCTCAAGAGTTGCATGCCAATAATAGACGGCCCTCTTCGTTTCATGTGTTTCAGTTTTGGAGCCCCAAGAAGATCTAGATCATCTTCTCCCCCCTCCCCCCAGCTGTTAGGCGGGTGCAAGTTCAATTTCCCCTAATCCCTAAACCCTCTGCCTACTCAGGTGTGGGGAGACTCTGTCATGTCCATTGAGCTCACAGACGATTCTCGGCGCCCAACATTGTGGCGTTGGTGTTTTTTTCTGCAA